CCCAAGTGTAGCACCCTGCACTTGTCAATATTGAAACGCATCCTGTTTTTGCTAGCCCACCCCTGTAACCTATCCAGGTCTTGCTGCATGGCCCCCACCATGCCATGTAGCAGGCAACCTCCACTGAGCCATACCTGGACCCCCCCATGCAATATGGGGGTTCCTTGAGTCTCCCATTGCCCTAACCACAGGGTCCCTCAGTCCTGCAGGACACACTGCCCCACCCCGCGCCCAGGGCGGGGGCTGGCAGCAGAAGCCGGAGAAAAGAAGTGGTAGACCAGAATCCTGCAGCAGGATTGCAATGGGTGGGAGCAGTGCCTGGACTGAGAAACCAAGAGTGGCAGGTTAACTCTTTGGGGGCCGTATGTATCCCATGGGCTGCCAGTTGGACAGCCCTAAGCTAATTAACTGAACTTAAGCCTCTTACTGTAGAGGCCTTTTTTCAGGACACTGAATTATTCTTTTGCTTCTTTTCCCAACTTTCCCTAAGTTTTCAACCTGATTTTTGAAATGTCACTGCCAGATCCACACAAGTGTTTCAGCAGCAGCCTTGTCAAAACATTTAAATCTCAAGCTTCTCAAAGGGTGAGGAAAGCATTTGCCTTAATCAAACATACAGCATTACATGGTATTATTTTATATTCTTCTTTTCACTTTCCAGTATCAGCTGCTGCTTGGTATTGGACTGGTATAATCCAATCTTTGCAAAACAGTTATAGCAAAACTGAGACCTTTTACATTAAGATCACAGAATGATGTGGAAGTTTCTTGTACAAAAGTAATGAAACCTGGCCATAGTTGTATGAAACTCGCAACCAGAACAGGTCCCTGTATAATTTCAATGGAGTATTATTACAGATTTTATCCTATCATGGCTCTCCAGTTCTTAGGATGATCTTCTGGGTTAGTAGGCAAGTTATTCAAATTAACATGGTGGTATGCTGCTTCACATCCAGTGGCTAAGCCATATACAGAGATTTTGGGGGGCTGCTATTGCAGCCAAATTAACATGACTAAACTAGTTTTTTAGCTCAAGTAGTGCAGGGTTGCCCTTTTCGATCCAGAGCTCTTGGATTCATTCCCCACAAATCAACCATCTAAGGATGATCCTATTACCTTATATAAAGGCATTTAGAGAGAACATGAATTATTATTATCCTGATACCTGGAAAAATTGTGAGGAGACTGGCTACTGGAACAGCAGATGAAACAGCTGACTCACTATGAGTCATTAGTTTTTAGATTAAGGTGGGAACAAGCCATGTGGATACTTCAGCCACCAAGGAAATAGAGGCATAACTGTCTGAAGAAAAACTAGAAAACTAGAGGAGAGAAGGAAAAAAATTATGATGCTTGTAACTGTATTGAACTGGTGTTGGATAACAAGT